AAAATACATCTGGAGATCTAAACAATTTAAAAATTGAGCTTCCTTTAAACATTTTCTGATTATATTAGTTTTCATTTTCTTTGTGTCTCTCCTCTCTTATCCGCCCCCCCCCCCCTTCTTGTCACATAATTTGTTTCTTTCTGGCTGTCTGTGCTGCTTTAAGCTTCTAGTTGTGTCTAGACTACCAAAAGCAGAGATATTGTCGCAGGAATTTTGAATGTAGGATTTGTTCATTCTCCGCAGCAACTCTCTCTCAGGATGACTTGTTTACAGCACCTTCTCAGGGAGGAGAAAGAGAAAGAATGTGCTGAGAGAGCATGACCCAGTGAAACTGGCACAACCATTACCTCATCATAGTAGCTACTTCAGATTCATTGAGAGAGCAGCAGATCGGTGGAAACCAAACACCGAGAGCACACCCATCTCTAGGCAGAAGTCCTTCTTTTTTTTTTTTTTTTAAAGATTTTATTTATTTATTTGAAAGAGAATGAGAGACAGAGCGCATGAGAGGGAGGAGGGTCAGAGGGAGAAGCAGACTCCCTGCCGAGCAGGGAGCCCGACGCGGGATTCGATCCCGGGACTCCAGGATCATGACCTGAGCTGAAGGCAGTCTCCCAACCAACTGAGCCACCCAGGCGCCCCAGAAGTCCTTCTCTTCCCATAGCAGCCTCTACTAATTTTGCTTTGCTGAGGTTAAAGGGATATTTTCTCTTTTAAGTATTTCTTTTCAGGGATCTTGAACTTGGACAAAAATATGCAGCCAGCAATGAAACTTGGCACAGAATCTAAGCCTGAAGGAACTATTTCATTCCTTTAACACTTTTGGCTTAACTCAATTTGTAAATTTTCTAAACATCAGAAGGGAGAAGGAAGAAAAATATTTGTAACTGTATTTTTGCATGTTTTCTTATGACACACATATTTTGTGTTGAATTTTACTGGCAGCTGGATGATAGGCTGGACTGCTGTGCTTTTGAGAACTACCGTCATGCTGTTGGGCTTGAAAATTAAATAGTTATTATGTTTGTTTAGATGTATACATAATAATGTGTGCATCCCTAAATTATTCATCAATATCCTTGGGAGACAGACCATATGAAACCAGCATGGGGATTTTAGTATTCAAGTTGATTATTCTGATTAATGAAGTCTTTTCAATTCTTAATTTCCTTATGACAGATTAAGATAAAGAATCTGAAATAACAGTTATAGTAGATGACAACACTACACCCAGGTCAATACTATACTCCTTAATGCTAACAGTAGTCATTACGTAAGTCATTACTAGATGCATGAACCTGAAGATAACATTCTGAAACAGTCATAAGCTCTTTTGTCTCTGATACATGAGTTAAAGATGTTATTAAGCTCTTTGAATCCTATCTGATTCTTTTAGATATATCAGCTCTTTGCTACTTTAATTCTCTCTATGCCTTTATTATTGTCATTGTCTTGATCTACTCCTTCTACATCTCTTACATGGGCAGTATTTTGAGCATTTCACCAATTTTCTCCTCCCTTTACACCATTTATCTCACATTTGAATATTAGACTTCTCTATTACTATTAGTAGTATTCCTTAATAGTATTACTCTCAGTACGAATTAGCTTTTAGGAAAACATTGATTCCTACTTATTTATTTTTCACCTATATGTCACCAATTAGAAATATCATACTGGAGGCTATGTAATGAGATACCAAAAAAATAGAAGACATGGTCCCTGAGTTTAAGAAATTTACAAATAAAGTTCGAAGGATTTATTTCTTTCATAAGAGATGACATTCAATTGAGTAGCAGTTGTATTAGAGATATGACACAGAGAGCAAGGGACTGCATTTGGACAGAGGCGATGTCCCAGCATCTTAAAGACAAGCTGTTATACATCAGTTATATAAATACCCCAATGTATACCTAGCTTCTTTATTCCATATATATTTACATATTTTTAATTAGGGAATGATAAAACATAATTCTTTGTGTGTGCGTGTATGTGTATATGCAACATAATGCAAATACTAATAGCCCCTCAAATACTCCCATCAATCAGCTGTAGAAAGTCATGTCTTTAAATGCTGTACAGCACATGAAAATTCAAATTCATAGTTTTCTGAGAAACAACTTTGGATATTCTCAAGGAATTATCAGTCTCAGGAATTGATTCCAGGCCTCAAAAGCGGTTAAAGATCTATGAAGTCAGAAGTGGTAGACAGAGAACCAAAATCAAGGGGCAGGGTCTGTGGGAAAGTTTGCGTGGGTGGATTGCAGTAGAGGAGACGAAGATCAAAAGCGAGTACTCAGTTGTTAATAGTTGTCGATTCAGGATGGAGAAGAGCCTGTGTCAAAGTGGGTGGAGAAATAAGAAATCTGTTTTGTTTTTCTACCGCCTCATAATATTTTGTTCATATCCCTCCCTGTCACTACTTTGAACTAAGGCTGTAGGTGTTTCCCTGTAAAAATTTATAAAGGATGCTTCTTAGAAGCAATTCTGTAGTGAATCAAAAATTTTAGAACAATGTGAACACAATTAATTGACTTTTTATGGAAAACACTTGGAATCTAATCTTTGAACTTAATCTTTCCTGTTCAAGAGAAATAAGCTTTCCTTTGAGTGATAGTATTTTAACTGTGATACTTTATACTTATACATTTTAATGAAATTCTGTGAGAATTTAGACAAAATAAAGAGCTCAGGATTTCCTCTTTCAGTTGGTTAACATATTAACTTATATATTAACTTATATTAACTTATATACTGTGGGCTTTGGGGAGAGTTGTTTTCCATTAAAGCACACAAGAGGTGGCAAATTTCTTTTTCTTTTTTTTTTTTTTTTGCTTTTTGTTATGTTAATAAGTCTTTTAGAGAAAATAATTTTACTTATAAGGTCACACAGCTTGACTTTCCCCTTCTTTCTTTTCCTTTTTCCTTCCTTCTCCCCCCATTCCTTTCTTTTCTTCTTTCCTTTCTTTGCTCCTTCTTTTCAATTTGTGTTAGCGAAAATCATTGATCTTTAGAAAATGCAAATACTGTATATATAGCCTGCTATTTTTATTGAAATTTATTTCCCATTACACCTATATTTCTCATTTGACATGCAGTAGTTTTATGCTGCCTTCTCTCCCTCCTCAGCACTCCATCCCTATCTTGGCTCTTTCTTTGATCTTGCCTTTTATATCCTCTAGCCTTGAATAATCTTTTCCTTGGATATCAGTCTTTGATCATGTTTTCCTTCCTCTAGAAGGCCTTTCTGAATCAGGAAGAAAAGTTACTACCTTGTTTCTTCTCATGATTTGAACCAAGTTTACCCAGGTTCCCTTATCTTAAATACACATGCTCATCCTAACTGTGTCCTCACCAACCTTCTTTAAATTAATTTTTTAAAAATCTGCAGGTAAAAATGGTACATCTTGTTTCCAAAATGAAAAATTTGGTTAACCAACTGCTTTTTTTGTCATTTTTCTCACCTAACACCAAGTAAAATGGTTCAGCTATTTTCATAAATTAAATCGACTAGTAAAGTTACTATGTGTCAATCTGTTGTCTTCATTTTATGCTAGGTAACTAACTGCACAGATATACACCTAATATTTTGAGCACCAACTCAGTCAATGACCAATCAGAAAATATTGAACTAAATTAATTCAGTTTTATATAAAATATGTCTAATTACATTGCTCTGAACATCATTAGCCATCTTGAATCCATTTCAAAGTGATCATAAAACACAGTGCTTGAATATCCATGAGCACATTTCATTATTTTACTGTCTAGGTCTATTACATTTAAAGCAAACTCATAAGTAAATACACAAATTCTATTAATTTGAAGTCAACTAATCATGCTAATATCAACCTTTTACATTACTTTATTTAAGTGTTTATGGCTCTATAGTTGGCTACATTTTATTGTTGTAACAGTTGTAACAGTACTGTGTTGTATTGTTAATGGGTAACAGTGAAATTCTATAATGAATTGATATGAAAAAATGTTCTCAATTTTATTGTCTCAAAAGAACGATGCAGCATCACTTTCACTGACATTAAAGCAATTAAGTAATGCTCAGCTTTGAAGTTTTATTTTATTTAAGCATCATGCCTCTCAAAATTGTAATTGAGTCTTTCCGTAAGTGTATGCATGTTTTTGGCAGAACAGTATTTGAAACAATATGCTGCTTACTTTTTGTTGGTGTTTGTATGAGATGCCATATTCTTTTGGCCCGTTTTAAAAACAAGCAAAAAAGTTGTAGGATTCAGTTATGCGTTCTTTTTATATTAATGTTATTAAGTATAGCTAAGACAAGATCTCATTCATTAATTTACTGCACATACTTATTTATTGTTTGAAAAAAGTTTGCAATCTGGAGCATACAATTTCCTTCTTCAGTGGACAGTAATATGGAGTCATAGTACATGTAGCAACTCATGATCACATAACATTTATTTGCCTTGTGTTTCACAAAGAGTTAGTGTGGGGGTATTTGTGTGTATGTGTATGGTCTTCTAAGACAGCCTTTTATAAGTATACCACTTTTCATAGTTGAAACAAATTATTTTGCAATCAGTTGACTTAAAGAAAATTAAAAACTATACTATGATGTCCCGCATGAGAACATTTGATATTAAATACAATTTTATAAGAAAAACAATGTTATGGGGGCCTCTGGGTGGCTCAGTCAGTTAAGCATCTGCCTTCAGCTCTGGTCATGATCTCAGGGTCCTGGGATGGGGCCCTGCATCCAGGCTCCCTGCTCAGTGTGGCGTCTGCTTCTCCTTCTTCTGCCCACCCCCCCACATGTGCTCTGTCTCTCAAATAAATAAATAAAATATTTTTTTAAAAAAAAGAAAAACAGTGTTATGGGTGTTCATTAATAAAATCAGATTGGATGAATTTCAACCTATTTGTATACTTTTCTGTTTAGAGATAAGTCCAGATTCCATTGTCCATTATTGAAATCAAATGATAAAACTAAATATTGTGCTCAAAATAAAAACACCTCTGTTTTGATCAAAACATCCTAAATTGAAATATTGGGCACTTAAGTTTATCTTTTAAGAGGTGAGGGTGGCATGCAAAATGCAGTTTATCTTCACTGAAACAGCAGAAGCCAGAGTTGATAGAACTTTAGAAATTTTACTGCCAAGAAGGGATTAAGAAAGCACTAAGCATCCTGCTGAAAGCCAAATCTCTTCTAAAACAAAGTGAGTGTGGTCTAGGGTTTATTTAAATGGGCTTTGGCCATTGTTTCTCAAACTAAATCTTGCCTCATTCATAGATTACATGATGGAAATTATTATAGACTACTGAGTGGCCTTTGGTGAAATTGAGGTTTTGTGGTGTGTGTGTGTGTGTGTGTGTTTTAAAAATTCTTATTTATTTCAGGTTCAGACACCAGTTCCATGATTTTCATTCCTTTTGTTTTGAATAGGACCTGAGGGTGGTCACTATCAAAATTAGAATTTATGAAAACTGCACAACCCTGGACAGTCTCACTGCCTTATATCAGCCCCTTCTTAAAGACTACAGCAGGGTATGTGATAAGAATCCAAAGTTTTCCATTAAAAAGTTGGTATTGCAAATGAGTGAACTGATTTTTGAGTTTTAATAAAATCTTTTTCTTGTGCTTCTAATATATTTATAGTCTATATAAACAGAGTAGCTCTTTGTAACCCTATTAATTAGTGGCTCAGAGGATTATGTGCTTACACAGCTGGAAACATGAAATGTCATTAATTGTATTCTTTCCTTGTGTGCCTCTGCCCCCTTGTGGAAGGGCTATTTGGACATTCTTTCTTGAGACTTGCTAATTATATACGAGTTAGATGATGTTTGAAGGGAAAGAGGGACTGTGGAGCATGTGGTGTGAACGTCTGAGGTACATATCAATAAACCAGGCCACGGGGAGGGGGGCTGTTAAGCGGCTTACTCAAGAAGACTCTGGCGTTCCGGCTTCCAGCTCTGTGCTCATGGAGGGTGCCATCAAGTGCTGTTCCACTCTGACTCTCCATTTCCAATTCTGATCATATTACTGTTTTCTGAGCTGAGGGCTTAGGGGACGTGACAGTCATACCTGCCCAACCTTGTGACTCCACGGTGACTTTCCCATGGACCCAAAAGGGGGAGGGACCTGGAATTCTAAGGCCGTTCCCACCAGCTCCATGCCAGCCCCACTTCTGAAAATGGTGAGACTGAACTGATCCAGGAAAACACTGACAGGGTTCCTGCCCAGGGCCACGCCTGCGGTTTGGAGCTCTTAAAACCGAAGTTCACCTTCTCTGGGGATGTGTGCTCAGACTCAAGGTACTTGGAAAGCCAGGGAGCTTTTCTCCGAGCTTGAACTATACATGCTGGTGCCTCCAGATTGCTGGAGACTGTGTTTAAACTTGGCTCCGTGTACAAGGGGAATCCAACAAAAATAGTCAGACTGAAACTTTTTTCTGACCTCTCGCAACATGAAATTTTCTCAAAAATAGCTTTCCTTTTGTGTTTCCCCCAGCCTTAGTATTTTTAGCTGAGAGGAAGTGAGCTAGAAAGGCTGCGGGCCTCTTACTTTCTTACTCTTGTATGTCTTCCTATTTCTCTGTCTCTGGTGCTCCATCCCTCTTATTTTTCACTTCTTCCAAGGAGACAGCAAATTAAATGAGAATTAGGTGTTGCTATGGTTACTGTGTTCCGTAGAGCTTCACCTGTACCCACGCTGCTTAGGCATTGTAAAGTCTTAAGTTGACAAATATTTGAAAGGCATGAAAAGCATCTTGGAGGAAAGAAATTAAGCAGAAACCATGCTTAAATATTTAAAGAGAAACATATTCCTAGTCACTGAAAACTGAAATGATATCACTACCTAGGGAGTGAAGGAATTCTAATGTTACCCTTCTGCTAGAGAATGTTAGATAGTATGTCCTATTTCTCTAGATGAACATGTTCAACCACTCGTCAGAATTGGAGCGACTGTTTTATCACTGAGTAGATGTAAGAGAATTCCTTAAAATATTTTACATGCACATTTGTAAAAGACTGGGTTGTGCATATTGTCTTCCTCTAAAGTATTTTTATTTTGAGCCATAAATACAGAAAAAGTCATCTTAACTGCACACTAGGAATCTACACTTTATGAAGGCAAATTTTTAAAAATAAGATGTTCTATGCTCTTCTTCTTGTGGTTTATTGAATTTAATAATCTGAAAATAAACATGCCCTCTAAGAAATTAAAATAATACCTTTTAGTGAATGATATTCTTCCTTGGGAAGGATTCACTGTCTGTCTTTCTTCCGCTTAAATATCAGGCTGGTGAGCCATAGGTATTTCTAATATTATGGCCCATAAATCATTCATTTATTTATTTAACAGATGGTTATTGGATCTCTAATATGCAGCAGGAATTTTTCTGAATGTGTGGGGTATTGGGACATGCCATACAAATTCCCACCCTCATGGAGTTTATATTCTAATAACAAGAGACAGAAACTAATGAATGAATAAATAAATGAACATTTGAAACATGAAGAACTGCTACAAGGAAGAGGAAACAAAAACATACGATAGAGCTTATTTGGGATGAGATGGGCTGCCTCTGGAGACTCAAGTAATGAGAAGTAGTCAGCCATGGGAGTATGGGGAAAGAGGGGGTGTAGCAAGAATTTTCAAGCCGTGGAAACAGCATAAAAACAGCTTAAAAGCAGGAAGAAGCCTGGCGTATTTGCGAAACAAATACAAGGCCCATGGCACTGGAGTCTAATGAACATGGTAAAGGATTGTAGGAGAGGAGATCAGCAGAAGGCAAGTACCACACCACACAGGTCCTCGTGACCATGATTAGGGGTTTTTGACTTTTACTGGACGTGTGGTGCATTCTAATTTTTAAGGTAGTAGAAGCAGAGTTTTTTGAGAATCTCATAAAAGCTTTCAAAGATTAATTATATTTTTTAAATCCCTGTAGACATATCTGTATCTTATTCACTAATGTGTTAAGTCACAAGAGAGAAATGATTTAGAAAGTCAGAAATCAATGGTGGGGCTAAAATCAGGCTTATGTTAACCTGGTCTAATATAATGGTCTAAACACAGGTACCCCAAATTGTGTCATTATCTTTAGATACTGGGAAATTACATGTGTAAGTAATTTTAACCCCTTGTTGCCTTTTTGTACCCAAAACTAACCTTTAAAAAGCAAACCTGAACAGAAAAGTACAGATACATATTTGAGAAAAGCAGTCACAAAAATCATTCCAGTCTCAATATGGTTGTGTTCTTTGGCTATTTCCCCACAGCAGCTTTAGTTTCTCCACAGCAGCTTTAGTGGTAGACAAGGCCAGGTGCCAAGCAACAACCAACATGGTACTGAAATTTATAAATAAATTAAATAGCAGAGTAACACATATTTTACTTCTTGGAGGCAGTGGTTTAAATCTGAGAATTTAGTAGGTGAGCTGATCCAATTTCATGATGATCTTGGGTCACCTGTGAGATTAATGATCATGCATATATTGCTTATACTAAAATATTTAATGTTCTTGTCGGATATTTGTAGACCTAGTGTAATGATCTATTGAACTTAGCATTAAACACAAGTCTGTCAGACATTTGATTGATTTTACTTCTGGCATACTTCAAGACTGTTTACTTTTTTTCTAGGCATTCCTCAGTAGAAAGCAGAACTATTAAATTTTTTTTTTTATTCCTTCATGTAATGTTATTTACAGGACATTCTCAGTATGTCACACAATGTAGGATAAATTAGTGTTTTTATTTTATAGTGAAGAATTGAATTAATGTTGATTTTTCATTCTTTCCTTGACTCCATTTTGCTTTGTTTTTAGGATTAATTAAATCATGATGTAAATTGCTTTAATCTGGAACCATATGATAGAGTGATATATCTATGTTCCAGATTTGCAGTTACTCAGGTTAAATATTAAAAGTATGAATAACAAACCGAGAAATAATTCTGATATATATTCAACTAAATAGTGTTCTTGGAATTTTATTCAAATGTGGGCTTTTTAATATTGAGATATCACTAACCATCAAATAAAAAGGAAAATGTTATTTTAAAGGATTGATGATCAGGCTTTAAAAAGAAACAGTAATTTTCTTCTAAACGTACAACCATGCTTATGCTACAGAATATAAAATATATAGCATATTGCTCTCCTCTAATTGACATTGACTAGAAATGCAAGACATAAAACTAAGAAAGAATATAACCCACAATAAGATAAATGATAAAGAATAGTATGGCCTATAAATGATATGCAAAGTCAGAGGAGGGAGATATAGCACCATATGTAGAAGCTAAAGATTTCATGTGGGAAGCAGAATGTGGAGTGGGGCTGCCTAAGTGGCTGGGTTTGGAAGAGTGCCCAGATAGGACGGTAGTAAAAGCAAAGGCACTGAGACGACAGTGAGCAAAGTAAACCAGATTGCCTGCAATGGAGGACTCCTTTTGGAGAAGAGTGGGATTGGAAGGTAGTCTTGGATTTGTAGAGGTCCTTAAACACTGGGTTTAGTAGGAGTTTTGGTTTTATCATAAGGCCATTAGAGTGAAGGGTTTGGAAATCAGGATTTTGATTTCTGGGGAGTGGTATGAGGAATGTGCTATCTAAGATCAGCAAAACAAATTTGAGAGGATAGAGTGGCAGGTTTAGAATTTCTACATATGGCATAGCATAGGGACACCGACCTATTTAGAGTGTAAGACCAAGGGATTTGTTTGGGAGCTATGGTTTCAGACATTTTCATGAACCATTGAGAAAATATCAATACCAATAAATGGAAGTAGACGATGATGATAGAGATGGAGTAAGGAATCCCAGCCCTTTGACATCTTCCAGAAGACAGGTTTGAGGAAGCCAAACGAGTTAGAAACCATGTAGAACTGTAGTCAGTAAGTAATATGAGCGTCTATTGGGGTTATGTCACGTGCATAAAAAGTACGTATTTTAAAAGGACAGTGGCTTTGGAAAACAGCAAAGAAATAAGGACAAATTTCAATACAACTCCTCTGATTTCTAGGCTATATTGAAAATGGACTGCATGACTTCAGAAATTAATACAGGAAACTGATATTGAAAATCAATGAAACGTGTGTATATCTAAACAGATTTTTTCTAAATACTACAAAAACATTTTTGCTCTTTTTTCTGATTTTAAATATTTGCATTCTAAAAATGTTTAATATCTCTGTAACTACTATCGTATGGTAGGGTTGGCAAGCTATTCTGTGAAGGGTCAGATAGAAAACCTTAAGACTTTGTAGGTCACATCCACTCTCTCTTGGCGATTACTCAGCTCTGTTGTGGTAGCAAGAAAACAGCCATAAACAATATGTGAACAAATGGGTATTGAAGTGTTCCAATTAAACTTTATTTACGAATAAAGGTGATAGGCCCATTTGACCTATGGACTGTAGCTTACCAACTCCTGGCATATACTGTCCTGTTAGAACATGAATCTAGAAAATGTCTTTGAAATTAGGTAATCACACTTTTAAAAGAGGTCACAAATACATGAAAACTATCTAAGGACAA